TGGCCTAAACCAGACAGCAGTTTATTTCTCTCTTTGTAACAGTCTGAGTGTAAGCTGCTGAGAGCTGATGTGATGGCTCCATAGTGCTCTGTCATCATGAACACAAGACTCCCTTGTTGTGGTCCAACGTGGCTGCTCCAGCCCCTGCCATCACGTCTGCATTTCAGCTGGTGGGCAAGGGAGAAGGGGAGGTGACAGGCACTGTCCTTCCCTTCAAGAGTATGACCCAGTATCACTTCTGCTTATACCTCATTGGCCAGAAATTAGTCACGTGATCACACCTAGCTACAAGGAAAGCTGGGAAGGGAGGACATTTGCTCATCTAAAACTTGGGAATTCTCTTACTAAAAGAAGAAAGGATGTTGGAGTCTCATTACCAGTGAAGATGTTGGTGCTGCATCTGTGTGATATGGGATGCATGTGTGATACATAGCCACCAGGCCAGGCAAAGAGGAATCTGGACGTCTGACTCTCTAATGGAGTCACTCCAGTGAGTAAAGGCTCTATGAGCATCTTCAGGAATTGGTGTAACTATTTTAAATATGAGCTTATAAATTAGCTTTGGAATTCCCATGCACTTTGGACCATTGTCTTTTCTTTTTCACTGTGGTGAAATACACCTAAAAAATTCACCATTTTAAAGTGTACAATTCAGTGGCATTTAGTACTCACAACGATATGTAACCACTACCTCTATCTATCTCTAAAATATTTTCATCACCCCCAAAGGAAACCCTGTACCCATTAGCAGTCACTGCCCATTTCCCCCTACCCCCAACCCCTGGTAAACATTAATCTACATTCTGTCTCCACAGATTTGTCTATTATGGACATTTCACATAAATGGAATCATAAGCTATGTGGTCTTTTGTGTCTGGCTCCTTTCACTGAGCAACATGTTTTCAAGGTTCATCCATGTTGTAGCATGTATCAATGCTTCATTCCTTTTGATGGCTGAGTACTATTCCATTTGGACCACTGTTTTTTCACACATTTACCCATCTTTTTACCCCACTAAATAGTTTTGCTGTTTATGTTTCTTTTTTTGTTGTTCATGGAAGAGAAAGGTTCTGTGGTTCCAATTCTGATCAAATCGTGAGTTTTTATTTCTCTGAGAATTTGAGACTCACGACACCTCAGGAATTTGGGACCACCCCATATGGTGGGCTTGATGGCCCAATTTGTACCTTACACGCTTGGGGGATAGATTGATCAACGCTCATGTATGCTCTTCCCTCTGGCGCACAGGTTTCCTTTTGTGCACTAATGAACACCACCTTCAGCATCCTGGACGATGCCTGTGAGAACAAATCCACCGTCATTTCTCTGAAGGTAACGAGGAAGTCTTTGTAATTGTGTTTCCAGTTTCAAACATCTTGGGGGACACTTTGGGAGCAGAAAGTCCTCTTTATAATTAATAGGTTGTGAGTTAATATTTAATTTATTACAGTTGTAAAGTTTTAAAAATTAACATGCAGTAAAATTGCCCTTTTCTTTACAATCCTATGAGTTTTATCACCTGAGTAGATTTGTGTAACCACCACCACAATCAGAATAGAATAGTTCCATCTCCCCCAAGAACTCTCTTGGGTTTTCTCTTTACAATCAGATACTCCCTCCACCACCAGCCCCTGTAAATCCCTGATCTCTTCTCTGTCATTATAGCTTTGTCTTTTAAAGAATGTGTTATAAATGGAATCATATGGTCTTTTGAGTCTGGCTTCTTTCATTCAGCATACCACCTTCGACATTCATCAATGTTATATTTATCGATAGTCCCATTCCTTTTTTTCTGGTAACCACTAATGATATTTAGTACATTTACAATGTTGTGTAACCATCATCACTATCTAGTTCCAGAACATTGTCATCACCACAAAAGGAAATTCCCTACCCATTAAGCAGCCACACCTCATCCCTCCCTTGACTGCAACCCATTCTCTTGAGGCGAGAGAAAAGACAGCTGCTATTTCATTGATGAGAGAGAGAGAGCAAGTACACCTTTCTTTGCAGAATACGGCTGAGAGTGTTACCTCTGTGCTTGAGCAAACGTCCACGTGGTCCAACTTCACCAAAGAAGAAACGTCCACCCTGGCCATAGTTTTACTGGAGACCGTGGAGAGCACCACATTGGCAGCGTTCCTGAAATCCTCAGAGAATGTCAGTCAGTCTATTCAGACGGAACACCTAGGTAGACTATACCGTCCATGGCAAGCTCACACCTGGGCGCTGATTTTGAAGGGTGACATCAGCAATGTGACTCTCCATGTCTTTTCCATGTACCGTTTCCCTGACTGTTTCGAACCTCTGAACTCACACAAAGCAAGCCTATTATAGTAACGACATCTCTCATTTATTGAGCGTCAGGCACCGTGTTAAGAGTGTGTGGCCAGGCACTGTTGGGGGGGCATCGTTAATTCATTCAACAAATATTTGTTGACTGCCTACTATGTGCCAGGTGTTAAGATATGATAGTCACTTGCTGCGTTCAAGTATTTCCAGCTCTTTCTTCTGGGCCCACGTTAGGATTGTACTTCCTGGCTTGGGGTTAGGTGGGATTTTGTGATGAGTTTAAGCCAGTGAATTGTGAATGGAATAGTTGTTGGTGTGAGGCCTTCCAGAGCCTTCTTTCCCTCTACCCTAGGGACAGGCAGTGTTTCAGATCACAATTTCTCCATCTGTGTGGGTCCCAGGACAAGGATAACACATGAATTAACCCAAGTCAATTCATGATGGACACAAAGCATGAATGAGAAATCAATAATTATTTATAACCCACTAAGATTTGGAGTTGTTTGTTACTGGTGCATGCCCAGTCCTCTCCTGACTGATACAGCTATGGATTTACCACCATGAACGTGCTTGATAGGTGACTACGTGGGAATTTCGGGTACTGTACGCCTTAACGGCAGCACCCCACTCCTGGTGTAGCTCCAGCATCAGTCACATAATCCCAGGTAGTCCCATCCTCATGGGTTCCCAGGAGGCTGAGATGTGGAAATAGAGTATTTGGTGAACTGCCGCCATGGTCAACAAGACCGGCCTAGTAAATTTTAGTGATAGACCTCCGGTATACTACTAGATAGAGTTAGTGCGACTGAGACAAAGACAGCAGGCTAAGGAGGCTCGAGAGGGTCAAGATTAGTGGGAGCGTTGGAAGTCTCACTGGTGCAGGGACCTGAGGGAAGGGAGCCGTGTAAATATTTGGAGAAAGAGCAAGTGCGTTCCTTGGAACACTTGGTGAGTTCAAGGAACAATGAGCAGGCCGGTGTGGCTAAAGTGGAGTAGAGGATGGTGACAGCTGCAGCAGAAGGGGTCAGAACAGAAAGGGAGCGCAGATTGTGTAGATGAAGGTAGGGACTCAGGATTTTATTTGAGGTAAGATAGGGAGTGGGATTGGAGAGTTTGAGAAAATGCATGGCATTATCCGGCTGATATTTTTAAAGGCTACCTCTGGTAGAATTATCTATTTTGTTTTCATTAAGAGTCCTGTAATCATTGCCACGTTGCGGGTGAGAAATCTGAGGCTCAGAGAGGTTAAGCCATTGCTCAAGTTTGCACAGCTGGTGAGTGGCAGAGCTGGACTCCATCTGACTGCAGAGCCCAAGCCCTCATCCACCATACTGGGCTTTCCCTGGTCTCTTCCTAATTCCTTTGGCTTTGGAAAACTTGCCTAAATTTGGAGTAGCCAGAAAGTCACAATTCTGTCACCTTCCATCACTGTCGACTTCAATCCCATCTTTTCCTCATGCATCCCCTAAGATGTGAGGGCTCACGCCTATGGCTCCACCTGGGTTGCTCACATGTTTGGTGCTACCATCCTCCTACCAATCATTGGGGGCTCAAGAGGTTTCCCGTGATGAACTGGCCTCTCCATTCTCTCCTTTGCTTGCAACTATGGATGCGTACCCTTCTTGGACAGAAACCAAATTCAGGACCCACTCTCTGGGTGACCTCATGCAAACTCTCCCTTTCTCCTTCTAGATATTAAGACCCAAGTTATTAACAAAGAATGCTCTGAGGAGAACACCGTCTTTAACTTCAAAGCCAAAGGGGATGAGATGAAGATTTGGTGCTCCACAATTGAAGAATCTGAATCCACAGGTACAGACCCACTCCTGAGTATCAAGGAGGCTGGTTGTGGTATATTCAATCAGCAAATATTTATCCATCACCTCCCAGGTGCCAAGTCCTGTGCCAGGTGGTGAGGGAATATCTGATGGCAGAGGCAGAAATAGCCCATGCCCTCAGGGAGTTTTCCATCTGCTAGGGAAGGCAGACATTAAATAAATAATCTCACAATACTGGAGTACTGAAACCTTCACTGTCCAATACAGCAGCCACTGGCCACACTTTGTTATTGAGCACTCGAAAAGTGGCTAGGTTGTGAGTGTAAAATACATACCGAATTTCAAAGGCTTGGTACAAAAAATGGAGGGTGTAAAATATCTCATTAATAATTTTTTCTGCTGATCATGTGTTGAAATGATACTATTTTGCATGTATTGACTTAATATATTATTAAAATGAATTTTACCAGTTTTCTACTTTTCTAAAATGTAGCTACTACACAATTTAAAATTGCATATGTGGCTCAGACTATATTTCTGGCAGAGAACGCTAATCTGTATCAGGGGTTGGCAAACTTTTCCTGTAGAGGGGAGGTTAGTAAATATTTTAGGAGTTGAGGGCAATGCAATTTCTGTTGCAACCATTCGGATCTACTGTCAAGGTGCAAGATCATTCATAGGCAATATGTAAATGAACGGGTGTGGCTGCGTTGCAATAGAACTTTTATTTTCAAAACACAGGCAATGGCCAGATAAGCCTGTACATTGTCCACCACCCCTGATCTACATACTGTCTGGAGGGCACAGACCTAGGACACATCCTGGGAGACCCCCAACATTGAAAGGGGAAGCCCACCAAAGAGATAAAACAAGAATGACCACAAATGTCGGAGTGGAACTTATTTTCCACTGCTGAGTTGAATTGTCCTTTAAAAACACAAATTCAAATTTGTTTTTAAGTATAGCCAAGATTTCTCCAGGTGATAGCACCTCAGGATTTTTTTCTATGGTTCTATGAGGGTCACCAACTAGAAGCCCACCCATGTTTTAATCCTCAGAGCAGGCCAGTGAAGGTGCAGGAATGCATGGGATATTACAGTGCATATCCTAATAAATACTGAGCAAATGATTCCCTTTTTTTTTGCATTTGGGGCAAATCTCAGGGACCACTGGGGTGGCATTTGTCTCCTTTGTGGGTATGGAGTCTGTTTTGGATGAGAGCTTCTTCCAAGACCCTCGGGCGCCCTTGGGCAACTCCAGGAGGAAACTGAAGATGAATTCTCGCATCGCTGGGGGCATCATGACAGGGAAGAAGAAAGATGGCTTCTCCGACCCAATCATCTACACTCTGGAGAACATCGAGGTTTGTGAAGAGGTCTCCACTGAGCCCCCATCTACCCGTTGAGAACTCCCCATCCCCTAGTGGGCTTAACTCTTATTTTTGTTTATTGAGGTAACATTGGTTTATAATATTATATAAATTTCAGGTGTACATCATTATATTTCAATTTCTGTGTAGACTACGTCATATTCACCACCCAAAGACTAATTACTGTCCATCACCACACACAGGTACCCTGTCACCCCTTCTGCCCTCCTCCCTCCCCCTTTCCCCTCTGGTAACCACTAGTCTAATCTCTGTATCTATGTGTTTGTTTATTGTTGTTGTTGTTGTTGTTGTCTTTATCTTCTATTCATGAGGGAGATCATACACTATTTGACTTTCTCTCTCTGACTTATTTCTCTTAGCATAATACCCTCAAGGTACATCCATGTTGTTGCAAATGGAAAGATTTCATCTTTTTTATGGCTGAGTAGTATTCCATTGTGTATATATACCACATCTCCTTTATCCATTTGTCCATTGATGGGCACTTAGGTTGTTTCCAAGTCTTGGCTATTGTGAATAACGCTGCAATGAACATAGGGGTGCAAGTATCTTCACACATTCGTGTTTTCACATACTTTGGATAAATACCTGGCAGTGGATTAGCTTAACTCTCATTTTTAATGGGGACCCATTAAGGTGGCAAGCTTCCACAATTTCTAGCAACTTAAGCCAGTCCTCAAAATCCACCTCTAGAGGAGTAAACTTTCCTATTTCTATGTGGCGTTCTTCCATTCATCAGCAGGCAAGATTTAGGTTAGGTTAAGTAACACGGACGCAGGAATATTTACAGAGACTTTAGTTACATTAGCTATGACCAAGTCAGTGGGAGAGACAGATCTGACGTCCAAGACATTTCTTCTCATGACTGCACAATGAAATGGCAGCGTTTTCCTCCATCCCCTATAGAGCATACCTGCATCTTCTTGCCCCAGATGACTTCAGGTTGGCCACACTGCATCCATTCAAGAAGGATTCTCAGGTGACCAGGGACTTTGATTTTTTCAGCCAAAGCAGAAGTCTGAGAGCCCCATCTGCGTTTCCTGGAGCACAGATGCTGTGGGTGGTAGGTGGACGCCATCTGGCTGTGTGATGCTTGAAGCTTCTGAGACGCATACCGTCTGCAGCTGTAATCGAATGGCGAACCTGGCCATCATCATGGCTCCTGGGGAGCTCACGGTCAGTACTGATGCTCTGTGTTCTTGCTCCCCAAATCCAATGGGAACGTATTGACTAAACATGCACGGTGTGCCTCTCATGGCATTGTGTGTTGTGGGAGGAGTCATGGGGGCACAGAAGGTGTGTGTGCCATACCTCTGCCCTTGGAGAATTCATGGTCTTGTTGGGAAGCCATGACACTCATATGTAAGATGAGGAATGACCCTGAACAGGTGCAGGTACAGTAACAATCACAGATCCTATTAATGAGCACTTATCTTGTTCTGGACCCTTTATTTTAAGTGTTATTAGACCCATTGCACAGGATAAGAGACTGAGGCTCAGTAGCCTTCTAGTCAGGAAGCTAGTACTTGGTGGAGGTGGGATTCAAATCCAGGACAGTCTGCTTCCAGAAGTCTCTTTCCACTGAACCATACAAATGGTGCAAGAGGTTGTGCTGTAGGAATTCAGAGGTGTTTCAGTGAGATCTGGTGACAGATCAGGGAAGAAATGAAGAACAAAGTGAGGCTTGGTGAGCAGGCAGATTTGGGAGAGGAAAGACATCCTCATTAGTGCCGTGGTGAGTTTCCTTACCTCTCATGCAAGATCTGAGGTGAATTCTCTGCCAGGGAGGCCCTAACTGCTAGTTAGAGGAATATGTGGCTTAGGACTTGAGAGAACTGGATCCAGAGCAAGACCAGCCGAGTTTCAAGTCCATCTCTGTCACTTCCTAGCTGTGTTTCCTTGGGAAAACCACTCAGCCTCTCTGAGCTGAGCCCAATTTTCTCATCTCAAAAATGAGAACAAGAAAAAAATAATGATGACAACTAACCCTTATAGGGTATGTAATATGTTCCTGGCACAGTTGTGAGTACTTTAAGTATTTTCACTGAATCCTCCTAAAACAACCATATAACGTAGTTACTATTAGTAGCCTCTTTTTAACAGACGAGGAAACTGAGGCATAGAGCAGTGAAGTGTCTTGCTCAAGGTCACACAGCTAGAAACTGGGAGAACTGTAGTCAGTTCTCTTAAATGCTAAGTCACACTATCAAAGAGATGAGCTCATGAGATGGTGCCTGGCATATCTTTAACACAAAGAAAGTGTGCAAGTAAATTTAAAATTAATTTAAAAATTAATTATGAATAATGGCACAGGGGAAGGACTCAGCTTGTCATTTCCACTCCCAGAAATTGAGGCATCTCTGAATGCCTATGTATCAGTCCTGGCTCGGTGCAGGAAAAACAGGAACCACTCTAGGTATTTGAAGCAGAAAAGGATTTAACACGGGGAACTGGGTGCTCACAAAATCTGTGGAAGGGACAAAGGAGTTGAAGTCAGGGGCTTGGATTTTGGCTTCAGGATAACCCATGAACTTAAAGATTGGACAGTTGGAATGTGGAGTCCAGCCACAGCTCACTCCTGTCTGCAGGAAGCTGGTATCTGCCTCCATTCTGCCTTGTAAAACTTTTATGCAGGCATCTCGTTGGAGAACCTAACTGACATCCAGGACCTTAGCCCCAAAGGATTCTGGGAAATGTAGTTTGTAGACACCATGGGATGGGGTGTAGGATGGGGTGGGAATGGGTGCTGATGGATGCCAACAGATGCCAAAGGATGATGATGGGCAGTATCTACTTCACTCTGAGTGTCAGAGGGAGAAAAGATCCCCAAGCCCTTTCTGCCCAAGCCAAGAGTCAAGATAATTCTTTTCCTGCCCAGGGCATGCTGGTCCCTCTCTGAGTGGTGTATCTCTTTCATGACAGATGGAATTCTGCTTGTACATCATTAGCCACGTGGGCATGATCATCTCACTGGTGTGTCTCGTCTTGGCCATTGCTACCTTCCTGCTATGCCGTAGTTGCTGCCGCAACCCCAACACTTACCTCCACCTGCACCTCTGCGTGTGCCTCTTCTTGGCCAAGATTCTTTTCCTCACCGGTGTAGACAAGACGGACAACCAGGTCTCACATCCCTCAAGCTTTTCCCCCATCCAGTCCCATCATCTCCACATCTGCCTCTGCTCGTCCCTACTCAACTCCTATGCCAGTTCCCACCTCAGGACCTTTGCACATGCTGTGCCCTCTGTCAACAATACTCATCCCCCAGCTCCTCACCTGGTTGACTCCTTCTTGTGATAGATAGGTCTCAGTTTAAAATAATTTCCCTGATCATGTTATATATTGTGGTGGTCCCTCCTATTACTCTTTAAACCATTGGTTCTCATCTGGGATGATTCTGCCCCCTAGGGGACACTTGGTGATGTCTGGAGATGTTACGGGTTGTCACCACTGGGAGGAAGAGCTACTGGCATCTAGTGGGTGGAGGCCAGGGATGCTGCTAAACATCTTACAACACACAGGACAGTCCCCACAACAGAAAATAATCTGGCAACAGTGTTTCAGATGTCAATAATGCGACAGCTGAGAAACTGCTCCTTGTAACTCTATTTTGCATTCTTTCTCAGCACTTATTCGAAACTATATTGATTAGTTATTGTTTTACTTGTGTATCTACCTTCTCTGCTAGACTGTGTGCCCCGTGAGAGCAAGAACTTTGGCCAATTTACTGCCTTTAACTGTGCCAGAAATAGTAGGCTCCCAGGGTCTTTCCAAAAGGAGCACTATTGACACTTTGGGTGAGATGACCATTCTTTGTGCAGAACTATCCCTCTCACTGTGGAATGTTTACCTTCCCCATTCCCTTGAGAACTCAATGCTCATAGTGCCCCACTCCCATCGTTTGACCAGGGGTGGGCAAACTCTTCCTATAAAGAGACAGATATAAATATTTTTGGCTTTTCAGATCCCATGGTCTCTCACGACTACTCAACTCTGCTATTTAGTGTGAAAACAGCCATAGAGAATACATAAATGGGTGTGGCTGTGTGCCAGTGAAACGTTATTTACAAAACGGGCAGCCAGCCCAGTGGCTGTAGTTTGTGGGCCCCCCGTCCCCATCCCATGTCTTGAGACATCTCCTAAAGTAGGGTGATCATCCATCAGTTTTTCCCCCAAACTCTCCCAGTTGTAGCATTGACAGTCACGTGTCCTGGGAAACCTCAGTCCCGGGCAAACCAGGGCGATTGGTCACCCTACCAGTGGGATGGAGAAGAATGGTGAATGTGGTGAAGAACATCTCTATAAGTATTTGTGGAATGAACAAATGGGTCGTGTGTGGGGAACGCCAATCAGAGTACTCTCTCCGCTGCCCTCTTCCTCTGAGACTGCTCCTTGGAGGGGGCGTCCTGAGTGCACCCGCTTCTCCTCTGCAGACGGGCTGTGCCATCATCGCGGGCTTTCTGCACTACCTGTTCCTTGCCTGTTTCTTCTGGATGCTGGTGGAGGCCGTGATGCTCTTCCTTATGGTCAGGAACCTGAAGGTGGTGAATTACTTCAGCTCTCGCAACATCAAGATGCTGTACCTCTGTGTCTTTGGCTACGGGCTCCCGGCGGTAGTGGTGGCTGTCTCCGCCGGCCTGCAACCACAGGGCTATGGGATGTATAATAGGTAAGTGACATCCCTATCTCTCCCCTAAGACCCTGCTTCTGGGTTCATGATGATAATTACATGAACAACAAGAAGACTAGTAACAGTAGCAGTATGTGTGGCTACTATTTATTGAGCTTTTACTTTATGTACTTGTTCTCAGGGCTGCCATATACAGTCACACATGTTATGCACTGCACAAATCCAGGAGACACCATTTGCACTGTAGTATAAGTGAATGGTGGTGATGTAAACAGTAAACTTGATTGTACAGTTTTAAAATCATGGACTCTGGAGCCGACCTGCTTGGGTTTGAATCCTGGCTACACTCCCCTCCGTTTCTGCTACCTTGGGCAGGATACTTAACCTCCGGATGCTTGCGTTTCCTCATCTATAAAATGGAGGCTAGCAACAGTGCCTACCTCATAGTGTTGCCGTGAGGGTTAAATGAGTTATTATCTGCAAAACATTGAGAACAGCGTCTGGTGTAGAGTAAAGCACTATACACGTTATTGTTATCACCATCATTATTAGCATTGTCTGTTTTAAAGTGAGGTATATTTATTGCATGGTTCCATGCCAGATGATTTTAGGTAGTATGCAGGTGAGTACTAATTTTTAAAATATTTTTGTATTTATTTTACAGGGCATTAGAAAAACAAAATTTCCAGCATACCAAAATCATGATTTCACAGACCTGGTTCCATTGTATGAGTAAAAAAGCGAGTCAGTTTTGAGGGAAAAGTTAGGTGAAGGACAGAACAAGCAGTATGTGGATAGAGCAGAGACTGTAACTCAGTGCAAAGTTTCATTTAATACTACGACAGACCTTTGAGATTGTGTTGCTATTCTAATTTACAGTTGAGGAAACTGAGGCTCAGAGGGGTGAAGGATTTTTCTCACCATTATGGTGAGAAAGGGGCAGCATGAGGATGTGAATCTGGGTCTTTCCAATCACAAGGCCCCTGCTTGTCACCTTGTGCTGGAGGCACTTTGCTGAACTGTGTTAGGGGATTAAATATCCAGGATTCCTCCCTGCCTGCTGATGGCTGATACTTCAGGTGAGGTCATGAGATAAGGGGTGAAGGAAAGAATTTGTACTAACTGAGCACCCATCATAACCTAAATCCTATAAGCTTTACAAACATATATTATCTCTGTTACTTCTCAACAAAATTCTATGTTTCCACTGAGTACAGCAGTGCCATTCAACTATACCATAATGTAGATAGAATCTCCTGGATTTGTGCAGTGCACAACCTGTGCTGCTGTTTGTGGTGGCCCTCAGTGCAGTTGCAGAGCTTGCCTGGGGTCGCATGGCTAGTAAGTGTCCAAGCTGAGTTCAGGTCTGACTGTCTTGTCAGAAGATGGTGGTGACAATACAATCTCACCATGAGGAAGAGTCTGATGTTGGCATGAGTAGCATAAGCCCTGACACGAAGGAGAGAAGGACGATGGCATACGAGAGCTGGAAAGTTCATGGAAGGCTTCCTGGAGGAGGCAGAATTTGAGCCTTGAAAGCTCTAGTGAAATGTACACAGGCAAAGAGGAAAGGGGGTGGCAACATAGGCGAGGGCAAAAGCTTGACCAAGGGAGAGATCGGGATATGTTTGGAGGTTGGATGGATTGGACAGGAAGAAGGGGAAATGGGGTGGGTCATGGAATTTGGAGAATACCTTCTAGGTGGTGGGAACCACAGAAAGTTTTGGAAGAAAGGAGTCTCACTGACAAGGATTTGAGATGATCTTAGGAAGTGGTAGAGAATGGGGAAGTGAGACAGAGAAGAGAAGGAGCAAATATGGGGTGCATCCACGAGCAGGCTCTGCTCTGGGAGGCTGGGCTCAGTCTCAGTGGGTACCTCTGGGAGACCCTGTAGGGCACGCACCACAGTTATCCCACCCAAGCGGTGAGGGAGCTGGTGTATTTATCCACAACTCCCTCCCATCAGCCATTGGTTGAGGGCTGCTCCTGGGAGAACTAATTCTCCAGCACTTTTAGTCTGATGCCCCAGGCAGAGACGCAGATGCTGATAAGGGAACTGGCCAGTATTTACTGAAGTGGCCGTTCCTGAAAGGAGGTGAACAGCATCTTCTCATGATGCAAACATTTTCCTGCCTTTTATTCACTCTATTACTGAAGACTCACAACATCTGGTTGGCCAAACTTGATTATTTTCCTTCTCTTGAGCGGGGAGGCACACTTCTGCTAAAAGAATATTGGGGTGCTGTTACTGAACATGGTGCAATGGTTGTTGGGTGGTGAAAACAGGGAATATCTACTAGAGACGCGAAGGAAAGAGGCAATGTATCCCTCCCTCTCTCCCTTCTTCCCTCTCTCTCTCCCTCCCTCACTTTCTTCTTCTTTCTTTTCTTTTAACAAGTAATTATGGATGCCTCATCCATGCCAGGCTTTGCACAGAGTGCTAGGTATTCAGAGATGAACAAAACATTCAAGGTCCAAATTCTCATGCAGCTCATAGTCCAGTAGGGGAAGATGGACAATTCGCAAGCAAACAAACAACTGAGCAAGATAATTTATGATACTGAGAGATGCCATAAAAAAGGGCAGCAAGCTCTGCTAGAGAGGCACCAGGAGCAGGGATAGTACACTTAGCTGGGGGTAGTCAGGAATTGCTTTTCAGAGTAGGTGAGATTTGGGCTGAGATTTGAATGACAAGGTGTGCCAGTGGGGATTCTGGAAAGAGGGAAAAGGGATTACAGAGGTTATGAATGGAGAATGGGCTCTACCCAGGGCACTAAGTGAACATTTCAGGAACATTTACCCAGCAAGAAGGTCTGAAAGAGGATTTGCTGTGGTCCAAAGAAAACTGAAATTCGACCAGCCCCATCAGGAGAATCTTCGTCTCCATCTCATCTCCCAGTAGTCTCCTCCATTAGTGCATTTGTTGGGGCATGAATAGCTGTAGGGTCAAGACCCTGAGACAAGCACTGACTCCTCCTGTTTCTCACAATAGCTGCTGGCTGAATACGGAGGCGGGGTTCATCTGGAGTTTCCTGGGGCCAGTTTGCACAATCATAGTGGTAAGCAGATTGCTTGGTGCTGGGTGTTCTGGAGCAGGAGCAAGGAGAGTTGAAAGGTCAGGAAATGTCAGCGGAAGCTGCATAGCTGAGGTCACCTATTCTCCTCAAACGTTCTCTCTTCTGATCCTTGATTCTTGAGATTTCCAAGTTGAAGTGTAATTTCTTTGATTTGGGATTTTTTTATGCCAACATGCAAATGCTCCCGGGAGAACCCACAGTCTTATCTGCCCTTTGTGCTTCAGTGTGAATGGGTCTGTCAACCTCTTCTGAGTACAGATATTAAATGAGAAAAAAGGTAGAAAGAAATTAAAAACAATTGATGGGGAAGAGAAAGAAGGAACTGGTGGGATGGAAGCAAAGGGGAGCCTGGAGATTTTTTTTCAGCTTTCTTGAGGTATAATTGACAAATAAAAATTGTATATATTTAAGGTGTACTACTTGGTGTCTTGTCATATGTATACCTTGTGAAATGATCACCACAATCAAGCTAATTAATATATCCATCACCTCACATTGTTACTATTTTTTCTTTTCTGTTATTTTTGTGTGTGTGGTGAGAATGCTTATGACCTACCTCTTAAGCAAATTTCAAGTGTACCATACAGTTTTGTTAACTATAGTCACCATACTGTACATTAGCTCTCCAGAACTTATGCATCGTGCATAACTGAAACTTTGTAACCTTTGAGCAACGTCCCCCCATTTCCCCCAACCCCTGGCCCCTGGCAACCACCCTTCTACCCTCCGAGAAGCCTGGGATGTTGAGTACCGTCTCCTTGCCTCCAGTCCATACTTTGCAGTCCTACAAGATGTTTCTGCTGACTCTCACTCATGGTTGGCTCATTTCCTTGTGTCATTTGTAATTGCTACTTATGAGCTCATATCTGACTGATCTAAATCTTGGGAATTCTTGAGGTTGTATTCCTTCAGAGAAGTGTTGCTCTGACATCAGATTTTTTGGTGGCCATGTATTAGTTTGCTAGGGCTGCTATGATAGAGTATCACAAACTGGGTAGCTTAGAACAACAGAATTTTCTTGTCTTAGAGTTCTGGAGGCTAGAAGTCTGAAATCAAGGGGTCAGCAGGGCCACACTCCCTCTGACGGCCCCAGGGAAGGATCTCTTCCAGTCTTCTCTCCAGCCTCTGGTAGCCTCATGCATTCCTTGGCTTGTAGATGTCTGTCTTCTCCCTGTGTCTCTTCACCTCATCTTCCCTCTATGCATGTCTGTCTCCGTGTCCAAATTTCCCTGTTTTATAAGGGCACCAGTCATATCGGATTAAGGCCCATCCTAATGGCCTCATTTTAATTTGATGACCTCTGTAAAGACCCTATCTCAAAATAAAGTCACATTCTGAGGTCCTGAGGATTAGGGCTTCAACATATCTTTTTGAGAAGGGGACACAATTCAACCCATAATAATCAACTGGTCTTGATTCTAACTTCCTGGATGCATCCAATGGAAATAAACACAGATCACCTAAATGAGAACAAACAGAGGCTATTTATTCAGATATTGTCATAATAAGAAAGTCAGTCACCATCATGTGCATTTGTCAGAGGCTCAAAGGCAGGCAGAGGAGTGGGAAAGCTTTGTAGAGAGAAACAGAAGGCTTCAGATGTGCCCTGAGTGGAGGTTGTTGACATAGGGATGCTATAGGTGGGCTAACTCGAAGCAGGCATCCTATGTTATTGGTTAGGGGAGCATATTGGCTTTCTCCTTTTGGTGCTAAGTCAGAAACAGGGGCAGAAGTTAAGGAGGCTGTCAGTTATTGATCAAGTCCTGGTCATTTAGAATTGATTGCTACAGAAGTTATTGTTTGGCTTCCTGGAGTGGTTACTGCAGACTACGGGTCAGAGTTCTCTTTTTATAGATGGTCTGGCCATTGTCCTCGTGTATATCCAATCTTTCAATCCCTTCTGCTTGGCTTTGTAGATCAATTCCACCCTCTTGACTTGGACACTGTGGATCCTGAGGCAGAAGCTTTCCAGCGTCAATGCCGAAGTCTCAACGCTCAAAGACACCAGGTGAGTCCCTCCTTCCTTTCGTCTCCCCTTCCAATCTCCCTTCTTTCTTTCCACAAATGTTCATTGAGTACCTTTTGTATGCCTGGTTCTGTGCCCAAGACGGACTAGCACAGCGTCTGGACTTGGGGGGCCACAACTCCAACTCTGCCACTTACAAGCTGTGTGACCTCAGGCAAGTTACATAACCTCTATAAAACTCAGTTTCCTCGTCTGTAGAATGGGAATATTAATATTGCCTATTTTATGTGGCTTATGAAGCATTTAACACAGTTACTAGGAGAAGTGAATGTTTCATACATAGACACTATTAATATATTTTTAATTCTTCTCCTATGTGTACATAGTGGAATAGAATTATGGTACTTTATTTTTATAATCGTTTTTTTCTCTTAATAACGTCATAAAATTTTTTCTCTTTAATTAGAAATTTGTCGACTATCCTTTTTTTTGTATAACATTTCAGTGTGAGGATGCAGCACAGTTTATTTAAATCATCCTTCATTCATGGACACATTTAAGTTATTTCTGATTTTTTTTTTGCAATTGTAAACAGTATTGTCTTGAACATCCTTGTAGGTAAATTTTCTTCCACATCTGTGGTTATTTAATCATAACACTAGGGGTGAAATTGCTTGAGTCAAAGTGTAGGTTGAGTTGCAACACTTTTAGTGTACATTGCAAACCGTTTTCCAGAAAACTTATTTCCGTTTACAAGAGTGCTTGTTTACCTCCAGCCTTGCCAGCATTAGGGTTTATCATTTTTTGTTGTTTTGCCGATTTAATAGATGACATGTACTATCTCATTGTTTTAGCTTTGTATATATTATTTTATCTTACAAAGAGAGGACTTTTTCGTATTCTCGTAGAACATCTGTGTTTCTTAACTTCATCACTCAACTAATGTTCATTTTAAGAACCCACCCAAACCAGACATTGTCTAGGTTTTATTGTTGGTAACCTGATGATGGTCCCTTGTTTGTTTTCCTGTCAGTGTCCAATCCTACATTCATCTTAAATATTTTTTTCTAAAAATTATTTTTAAAAAATTAGTTCATGGGCCGGCCTGGTGGCGCAAGCGGTTAAGTGTGCGCCCTGCTGTGGTGGCCCGGGGTTCGCCAGTTCGGATCCTGGGCGTGCACCGACGCACCGCTTTTCAAACCATGCTGTGGCCGCGTCCCGTATAAAGTGGAGGAAGATGGGCATAGATGTTAGCCTAGGGCCAGTCTTCCTCAGCAAAAAGAGGAGGATTGGCAGATGTTAGCACAGAGCTGATCTTCCTCACACACACAAAAAAATTAGTGCAAAAAGTTAAAATAAAGTTAATATATGCCATGGCAAGAAAAATTAAGCATTAAAAAAGGAAACATGTGAAAACTAATTCCTTCCTTTTTCCCTGACCTCCCAGGTCCCCAGGTCTCTCCCACCTCAAGCAACCATTATCACCTGAATTGAGCTTCCTTCCAGAATATCCTATACTTACACATCCACCTTCTATTACATAAATGACAGGATACTGTACATATCATTCTGCACTTGGTTTTTTCCACATAATAGGTAGCTTATTTCATATCAGTACTTAAGGTTAAAAACAACTAACAAAAATGTTTATTTTGTGCCAGACACTGTTCTAAGCACCTTTAGGGTCTTGCCATCTCATTAATTAATCTGTAGAACAAATTTATGGTGTAGGCATTATGTTATCATCCTTATATCAACGTGAGGAAACTGAGGCACAGTGAGGTTAATTAACTTACTAAGGCCACAAAGTTAGTGAGTGGATCAGTCAGAATTTAAACACAGGCAGTCTGACCCAGAGCCTTACCCACTATAGTATATTGTCACTGTCATCTCATTTTATTTTATTTATTTATTTTTTTATAATTTTATTTATTTATTTATTTTCCCCCAAAGCCCCAGTAGATAGTTGTATGTCACAGCTGCATATCCTTCTAGTTGCTGTATGTGGGATGCAGCCTCAGCATGGCCGGAGAAGCTGTGCGTAGGTGTGCGCCCGGGATCCGAACCCGGGCCGCCAGCAGCGGAGCACGCGCACTTAACCACTAAGCTATGGGGCTGGCCCCCGTCATCTCATTTTAAAAAACAGTTTTATAATCTGATTTCTGTCTCTATGATTTGCCCATTCTGGACATTTCATATAAATCGACTCATATACTATGTGGTCTTTTGTGACTGACTTCTCTCACTAAGCATCATGTTTTCAAGGTTCATCCATGTTGTAGCATGTGTCAGTGCTTCACTCCTTTTCATGGCTGAGTAATATTCCACTGTATGGATGAACCATGTTTTGTCTATTGATTCATCTGTTGATGGACTTTTGGGTTGTTTCTAGTTGGGGGAGAAGGGAATGGGGGATTACTGCTTAATAGGGACGGGGTTTCTTTTTGGGGGATGAAAATGTCTGGGAACTGGACAGTGGTGATGTTTGAACAACATTGTGAGTGTGCTCAATACCACCAAATCATACTTTAAATGGTTAAAATGGTGAATTTTATGTTATGTTTTTACCTCAGTAAAAAAAAAAAAAAAAGTCTTCATAGTATTTCATTGTATGACTTCATCATTCATTTAATGTATCCCAAATTCTTGCACACGTGTGTCCTTCTAGCCTTTCATTACTAAAGACAATATTATGTTAAATGCATGTGTCCACATGTCTTTGTGCCCGTGTGTACCTGTAGGCCAATAGCATCTAAATGCCTATAGGATTTGATTTCCCTGCAACTAGGTTTGGAGATTCCACCCCACATGTACTCCCACCTGGGTGGTGGATTGCACAGTGGCAGCCTCAGAGAATTCCTGGGAGTGTGTCCCATGAGGACAACAGCCACCTCCCAGAACCTTATCCTCTGCAAACCTTCTCCTCCAGGTTATTGACATTCAAGGCCTTTGCCCATGTCTTCATCTTGGGGAGCTCCTGGGTGTTGGGCATTTTCCAGATTGGACCCATGGCTAGTATCATGGCCTACCTGTTCACCATCATCAACAGCCTGCAGGGGGCCTTCATCTTCCTCATTCACTGTCTGCTCAACCGCCAGGTATGTAGCTGCTGCCCTCGCTGTCCCTGATGCCCCTCCTTCCAGGGGACATGCCTGTGCCAGCGTACTTCCCTGCATCTGGGAGTGATTCATCTCCCTGTGATGTGTCTCCATCTCCAGGTACGGGAAGATTACAGAAGATGGATTACCAGGAAGATCAAACCCAGAGCCCAGTCCGAGACTTCAGGGACCTTACTGTCATCCCTTCCCTCCACTTCCAAAACGGTGAGAGACGGTGTGTTTTATGCAGATTCTGGTCAAACAGAATCCTTACTTCTTAGCAATACTAAACACTGCCATGTGTTGAGTACCTACTGTGAGTTAAGTGCGTCCATGGGTATTAGCTCATTTGATAGGGTGTAGGGTTTAAAAGTGGAGGTTCAGGAGCCAGCCTGCCTAGGTTTAAATCCCAGCTCTGCTTTTAGTAGCTTTGTGGTCTAAAAAAGATAAAATCATGGGGGCTGGCCCCATGGCCTGATGGTTAAGTTCAGTGTGCTCCACTTTGGCAGCCTGGGTTCAGTTCCTGGGTGCAGACCTACACCACTCATCAGCAACCATACTGTGGCAGTGACCCACATACAAAATACAGGAAGATTGGCAACAGATGTTAGCTTAGGGTGAATCTTCCTCAAGCAAAAAGAGGAAGATTGACAGGAGATGTTAGCTCAGGGTGAATCTTCCTCAAGCAAAAAGAGGAGGATTGACAGGAGGTGTTAGCTCAGGGTGAATCTTCCTCAGCAAGAAAAAAAAAGATAAAATCATGATTCACACAGATATAAAATGAGCATACATTAAGGATTTTATTCTACCCATCAATCAGTGAAAGAGCGAGGCAGATGTTATAACTGGCTCAAAAGAGAACGCAAAGAACAGACATATATGTATAAAATATATAATATATACAATGTATACATAATACATAAAACACATATAATGCATACAATGTATACATAATACATAATATACATATAATGCATACAATGTATACATAATATATAATATATATTACATAATACATATGCAATATATATATAATGTATACATAATACATAATACACATATAATATATACAATGTATACATAATACATAATATATATATATATGCTTGTTGTTGCTGTTCTCTTTTGAACCAGTTATAACATCTACCTAGTTCCCTCATTGATAATTATACATATATAATATAACATACCATTATATATTATATAATTATACCTATAACTATTATATATAATTATTAATATTATTATATATATAATTTCATATATACATATACGTTATATATGTATTACATGTATATGAATTATAATACCTATGAATTATAATACATATATATAATTTCAGGAATACTGAAATGAATGTGCAAATGGAGGCAAAACTGTTTTTTCCATGGAATTGCTTTGCACTGCTGTCAATTATTTAAAATTTACAGAATTGTAAAATATCTCCCACATAGATCAGAACTGGGTAACCTGGAGATGTGTGCTCTGACAATACATCGTTTTCCATGGAAGTACTCATTTTTCTCTACACCATAGATCTCATCCAGTCTCACAGCCATAAACGCCATCTATTAGCAATGACCCCCAAATTTTAAACAATGTGAAGTCCAGCCTCCTCTCCTGAATTCTAGACTCATATAACCAACCACCTACCAAGTGCCCCCACTGAGATGTCTAATAGATGTCACAAACGTAACATGTTCCAAACTGAGCTTCTGATCCCCCAACCTCTCATTTCCACAGAGGGTCCCCTATCCTTCTATCCTTCAGCACAAGCCTGTGAAGTTATCCTTGACTCTGCCTTTCTTCTTACCCTCCATCTCCAATCCATCAGCAAATCCTGTTGACCCTTCCTCAGAATGTATCCACAATCGGATTGCTTCTCTTTCCCTCTGTTGCTTCTATTCTGTTCCAAGTCCTATTGTCTGTAGCCAGGATTATGGAAATAGCCTCATGAAGGTGTTTCTGCTTCCTGTCTTGCCTTTTCCCTGCCCCAACTTTGGTCTATTCTCCTTGCAGCAGCCAGAGGGCACCTGTGAACTCCTGAGTCAGGTCACATCCCTTCTCTGCCTACAACCCTCTATGGCTCCCACCTTACTCAGTAAAAGCCAACGTCCTCCTGATGGCCCACAAGGCCCTGTACAGTCAGACCCTCTTTTGCTGCTTGACCTCATCTTCTGTTAATCTCATTTCTTTCTGCTCCACCCACACTGGCCTGCTCAGGATTCTTCACTTCTCCTCCTTAAGAACCTTGAACTGGATGCTCACTCTGCCTTGAATGTTCTTATCTTGACACACGTGGCCAACTCCCTTACCTCCTTCAAATCTTTGTTTCAATAGTATTTCCTCTGATAGCTCTACGTTGTACTGCCTCCTTTTCTCCTACCCTGGCCTTCATGCTTCTCTTGCCCCCTAATCGTGATTTTCTTTTCATAGCACTTTCCACTTTCTAACGTGCTCTAACTTCCTCATTTATTTCCTTTATTATTTATGGTCTTCTGTCCCCCACTAGAATGTCTTATTTTTTCACTGACATATTCCAAGCTCAAGCAACTAAGATGCAGTGGCTTAACTAAATAGGTTTTTGTTTTTTTTTCTTGCAAGAATAGAAGCCCAGAGTTAGGTGTTGCTGGTACTGGTTCTATTGTTCAGTGGTATTGTGAAGGATCTAGGTTCTTCCTAGTTTTCCATTCCACTAGCAGCATGTTGGCTTTTCACCAAAATGTTTTTTATGGTTGCAAGATGGCTGCCAGAGCTTCAGACATCACGACCATGTTCAAGGCAGGAAGAAGAAGTATGGGGCAGAAGCAGCAACCTCTCCTTTCATGCCTCTCCCTTTAACAAGAAACAGAAGCTTTTCCCAGAAACCCCTCAGCAGATTTCCCTTTCATCTAATTGGTCAGAACTGCATCACATGACCACTCCTAGTTACTAAAGAATTTGACAAAAGATGTATTTGGCTTTCTAGCTTCTAGAGCGGGAGCTATCAGTGGTGAAGAGGTTGAGAGTGGCTTTTGAGTTTGCACACAGTGCCTGCCATGCTAGAGATAATCACTGTTACCATTTTAATGTTTACCCTTCTAGTCTTTGTTGCCATATCATCTCTCTCTGTATTTATAAGATCCGTGCCCCTGTAGATATGACCCCTGGGATCACGTTTGTACTAATCCTGCTGCTGATTCTGATTCTGATTTCTCTCTCGCAGAGTTAAAGCACCTTCTTGCTTTCAAATATGCTATGAAGCAACATTTGAGGACAGCAGGTGCCGGCAGGAGCTGACGCTGAAATCTTCTCTTCATGGCTTAATGTGGAAATGCAGGGTCCCGCCAGCTCCGGGAATCTCTGGGCAATTCGGAGCACTGATGGGGGGGGGCAGTCTTCCGGTGGTTCCACGCACTGGTGAGAAACAAGACTTTCTGTTCCAGATTAAGATTTTATCTTCCATGTTCTGCAGCCCTTTGAATTTCCAGAGTTTTGTGGACGTAATAGATCCCAGTGCAATGGCATGACCAAGAATATCCGGCTACCATTTTGTTTTCTCATAAGTTCTTTGGCACATGGCTCCAAGCCTGCCTCTCCGGCACCTGTCACAGAGTAGCCCTCAGGAAATGACATGTCTGACTGACTGGCTTATCCTTTGACAAAGACTCCTCCTGCCTTTAAAGAAATGGCCAGTAAAACTGTAACGAGAGCCCCGGGGGATAAATAAAGCACACTGACATATAGGCTACTTTGGCACAAACACTTAAAAGAGTTATGTTGGTAAGCAGGAGTGTCGATGGAGCAGAATTCCAGCGTTTCACAGAGAGTTGAAGGACTTGATGATGAAGCCTTGGGGAATATTTTGGTTTCCTGGAAACTTTCCGGGAACCAACGTCTCCTTTCCTTCCAGGAACTGTTTTGTGACTTGGCTAGGATTCGCACCGCTCACAAAGTTATCACCATCCTGCCTTGCTCTTCATCCCCCCTAAAATCTTGAGTGCCAGGGAGAGAAGAAGGAAAATTTGAAATGTAGATATCCCTCCCTTCCATGGCCACTCTTCAGCCTGCCTCCTCAAAGTGTGGTCCGTGGACCAGAAGCATCAGCATCCCTTTGTTAGAAAAGCAGGATCTCAGGCCCCAGCCCAGGTCTGCTGAACCAGAACCTGTGGTTTAATGAGATCCCCGGGGGTTTGTGTTGTGCACATAAATGAATGATCTAGAATGTTCTTCTGTTTTCCATGCTGATAGCAGAGCTTGTCTTTAAAACTAGAAAAGAAAACGTGTTCTTGGCTTTAGGACTTTGCATCTGCCATTTTCTCCTCTTAGGACACCTTTCCTCAAAATTGGGCTAATTTCACCCTCTCTTTGAGTCTCAGCTTAGTCATCACTTCCACCAGGATGCACTCTGTGAATCTCTTGAAGGAGGATTGGATGTCACCTCTGCGTGTCCTCTAAGGCTTCATGCTTTCCAACCCTGTGTTATAATTTCTTTTCTTTAGTGTTTCCAATTAGATTCTGAGCTCCTTAAGTACAGGGCAGTATAGTCAGTGGATTCTCCATAATATGTTGAATGAAAGAGTGAATGAATGATTACTCTCCATTTTGAAGTTGAGGAAACTGAGGCTCAGGGAGGTTAAGTAACTTTCCCATCATTACACAGCTGTAGCGGGCTGAGCTGGGCTTTGAACTCTTGACCAGAGAGCTCCTCTTCCAGGCCACTAGTCCTTCTCCTTCTCTTTCTTTGACCCCAGGAATTCTTAAATGGGGATACAGAGAAAAGACTAAATATTTACTTTGAGTCAACTTACCATTTAGGATTCAGTTCACTCAGTAATGATCCTGTGTTGAACAATTTGATCACAACATTAAACTTGATTGATGGAGGCTCAGTCTTTGTTGTTTGTGGCAGCCATAATTTTGGAGGGGGGCTGACACATGTTTACAAACAAGAGTTCATTTATTATAGGGTGGTCTTCAATGCTTGGCTTGTCCAGAGGGTTCAATACAGAGGTGACAATTCTAAGGATATTGAAACAAGAGAAGGCATGATTTTTACCCATCGCCAATTGTGGTAGGTTGATTGCATCAATGCCTTCAAGAATGGTTTCCATGACTCTACACTCCTTCCCTGTAACTTTGTAACCCTTCCTTCTCTGACTCTGGCTTGGCCTTGAGAGTTTATTTGGCCAACAGAATGTTAGCAAGCGTGACTCAGAGGTTTCAAAATTGGGTGTGCATCCCTTCTTGCCCTTTGCATGATTTGTCTTGCCCGCTCTTGCACTCCTGCCTCCGCCATAAGAACATGCCCAGTCTAACCCGCTGGAGGCATGTGAGAAACGTATGGAGGAGAGTTAAGTCATCCCATTATACCAGCTGAGGCTGTCCTTAATTAACCACCTAGCCAAATTGTAGCTGACTGCAGTCACATCAGTGAACCCAGTCAAGATCAGCAGACCTGCCCACCCAACCCATCAACTCAGGAGCAACAATCAGGTATCATTATTTTAGGGCACTAAGTTTCAGGAGTGGTTTGTTATGAAGTGTTGTTTGTGGCAATTGCTAACTGATACAGCAGCCAATGGATTGTCAACATTTTGCATTTGATTGCAACAATTTGGAATATACAAAGAGGAGGATTTGCATCTATATTTCCTCTTAGCTATCAAGGTCTATAAATCTATAATGCTTGAATAAAGTTCTTTCTGACAGAAGACTTGCACAAGGCATTGTCTATCTCTATTACAATGTTACATGTTGGTTTAAAATACAATTGTGTTAAGGAACTCTATGTTTCTAAGGTAAGTGAAAGCTGTAACCTCCACAACAAGGATCTTTCTTACTATAAACATCAAGCTACGCTTGGTACATTCCTTTACCCCCATGGCCTCATATGCCTCCACTAGAGGGAGAAAAGAAACTCGGAATAAAACTGCATTGTTCTCAAATTCCATAAATATAAAGTGAAGTAACTCTGTCCTCTTATAATCCAAATAATTTATGGTGTCC